GAGGGGAGAGAGAGAGAGAGAGAGAGAGAGAGAGAGAGAGAGAGAGAGAGAGAGAGAGAACCCTGTTCTCTGCTCCCTCACTGGGTTTCCCTCCTCCTACTCCAGATTTGTTGAACAATGATCTCAAGGATTCTGTCATCTGTGTCATGAAGATAGTTCAAGAGCCCCAGGGTATGGGCTACTGGTGAGTAACTCCCACTGAAATTGTGCAAGTTGTGGCCAGGACTGGAGGATAGCATCAGGGAACTGGCCTTCCATGAATATCCACTTTTTCCTAGGCAACATATTTTCTTGGCTTCATGAAGCAAACTTCACAACCAATGTTGGTAATTATGAGAATCCAGACAATTACAGATGACTGCAACCAGAGAGAATAACATTGGCAATCACATGACCACACAGCTCAACCCAAATTTTATGTAAATGCCCAAAGTATATAATAGATGGTAGATGAGGTTATTTGCTTGGATCATGGGTAGGGCTCTGGAACTTTCCAGTTTTACTCCTTACCTACTTTCAGAACTATGTCCTTTGAAATCTCCTCCCAATGGGGAGTTCGTCTGAGTGTTGCACTGGGTTCTGACCTAGATGGCTGGTTCATATAAGCACCTGGGTCAGTTGCTTCACAGTTACCCAATCTCTTTGGATGAGGCTTTTCCAAGGAGTCTCCAACCTCCACTCCACTCATGCTTACAGAGGAGGAACCAGCAGGGCAGGGAAGAATCTGGGAAAGGTGAACCTCTCCAGGGCTGAGGAACATCCAGACCATGGACAGATGTAGCAGCTGATAAGGTTGGGGAAGGAACTTTAGAAGACCTTGGAACAGAAGGAAGGAGAAAGTAATGATGGGATAGGATTGGGGCATCTGTTGGATGGTCTTGCAGGAGTCTAGGTGGCACATAGGGTCTGGAGAGGGACAGGTGTACCAGTGGTGGATACAAGAGAGATTAGATATAAGGGGTGGGAAGGGATTCAGGAGTAGATGAGGAATGGTCTAAGAGAAAGAGGAGGGGGTGAAAATGACTGAATCATGAGATATTCCAGGCATATTACTTGAAATGGACACTGCTTTGTGCTCTGAGAATAGTTGAAACCCTAAGAAGTGAGTTTGAGGTAAGGCCAGCTCTGTAGGACAGAGTGTGCTTATAACTCTGTGTTATAAAAGGGACAAAGTCAGGTCAGGTGCCAGTCCAAGAGCTTGCAGTCTTGGTGCCCATACTGTGGAGTGGAAGACCTGGTCCTAATAGGTGAAACCAAAGAGCATCTCTATTATACACTTGGAGTAAATTCTTGGCATGGATGACTCTTGAGGGTCTGAGGCTAATTGGAGGAAGTGGGTCTAGAAGGCTCAGTGCTGTCCATTCCTGTACACTCACATGCACTGGGGATGCAGGTATGCAAGGTCTAAGTAGGTGCTGTGCTTCAGAGAGAACTAAGACCTGTCTTTGTCCTTGAGTATCTTACAGTCTAGTGCAACAGACAATCAATCTCTCTTGGTCGACAGTTATTTAGAAGTCTTTCCGGTGTGCTATTGATCATTAGGCTCATTGACATCGACATCGTAAGGACACCAGTTTTCAGACCTTGGGATGCCTGAGAACTTTGGACCCCAGGACCATCTGTTCTTGCTTGTCTTCCTCAAGATGTCAGATGTGATAGCACTGGGGAGACAGTTAAGTCCATGAGAATTGCTTGTCATGAAAGAGTGAAAACCTGAGTTTGGTTCCCAGGACATATATGTAAAAGCTGGGCATTTGGCGTTTGTAATCCCAGTACTAGGGAGGTAGAGACAGACAGATTTCTGAGGTTTGCTGGCCAACCAGCCTAGCTTAAATTGGTAAGCTCCTGGTTCAGTGGGAGACCATGTTTTAAAAAACAAGATGGACACTTCCTGAGAAATGACCTAGCCTAACACACACACACACACACACACAGAGAGAGAGAGAGAGAGAGAGAGAGAGAGAGAGAGAGAGAGAGAGAGGAGAGGAGGGGGATGGTCCCAAAAGAATATAAGTCAACCATGGAAAGACTTAGATTGGCAACCAAGACATGATGAGTGCATGTCCAGCCATGTAACCTGGGTGCGTAAGTCTACATCACAGCTCGAGTTTTTAAATTAGGAAAATAGGGGAGATAATGTTGACCCAATCTACCTAATAGGCCAGTTGAGGACAGAAGGGAAGTAGTTACAAGTGGGTGAATGGTATGGTGGCATGTAAACTGTGTGAAGGTCTTTACACATAAAAGGTGGCCTCACTGTTCCCAGAAGCACTTGGGTATAGGAAATGAACTTTGTACCTAGGCTCCAGATTCCAGCTTCTAACCCTTTGATGAGGACTCAGGGGTAAGCTTGAGTACACTAGTTTGTATCTCCCATGGTAAAATAAGGCAGCTAGACATTGACTTTTAATGGCCATTCTCTTCCTTAGAAAACATCTCCCCTAGGTTAGCTCAGCTTTTTTGTTGCCTCCCATCCTCTTAGCCTCTTGCTTAGCCTCTTAGCAACTTTGCTTCTCTTTAGTTTAGAGCCCTGTACCTTTCCTGCTCTCTGAAGCTGATGTGGATTCTTTTTTGGGGGTGGGGGGAGACAGGGTTTCTCTGTGCAGCTGTGGCTGTCCTGGGACTCACTCTGTAGCCCAGACTGGCCTCAAACTCACAGAGATCCGCCTGCCTCTGCTTTCTGAGTGCTGGGATTAAAGGCGTACGCCACCACCACCTGGCTGCTAATGCAGATTCCTTTCTTCCTTGTTTTCTATCCCTAGGGAGGCCTGGAGGCATCACTGCCAGGGCAGGGACCTCACCGACTGGGTGGATGGCTGTGACTTCTAGGACCTTCTCTGGATGGACCAAGCCACACACAGCTGGCTGGGAAGTGTGGATTTGTTCCTGATGCAGGCTTGGGAAGACAAGCCAACTAATAAAGTCTAATTTTACATAAGCACATTTCCCAGCTTTCTGCAGGTCTGCAGGCACCTAGCTGGAGCCAGCGCCATCTCGTCTTCTTGTCTCATGTGCTCGCCTGGGCTTGGCTTCAGGTGGACTCCAAAAACCTATCATGGAAGGCTTGGGGACAAGGTCAGTGCCTTCCTTCCCCATATCTGGTAGAGTTTGGGTCTAGAGTCAGCAAATTTAGCAAAAGCTAAACCAAAGCAAAAACAGGATTAATTTGGATTTCAGCTACACAAGTAGCTTTGATGTACATGTACAATTCAAATCTTGTATGGCTCATACTAATATTGAAGAACCTACTTGTGTATATGAAATTCAGATTTAATTGGGAGCTGCTGTATTTTTACTTGGCAAACCTAGATAAGTCTGGTGTTGGGAACCCTTGGCATATTTGGAAAGTGGGATGCTTACTTTCTGCAGTTCTGGTTGTAGATGTGGCTGGCCATCATGTCTTAGCTCTCACTCTGGTGTCTTCTCACATCCTATGGTCATGAGGTGGTGCAGAGTGACTGCAGGTGTGTGAAAAACTTCAGGCATGTGTCCCCTCCCTAAGTTCTGTCCAGTGTGTCTCGTGTGTGTGTGTGTGTGTGTGTGTGTGTGTGTGTGTGTGTGTGTCCTGCTTTATTGGCCACCTTGCTCTTTAGTGCTCTCTAGAGGCAGGAGAGTCAAGTGTCACTTTAATAGCTGGTCACTTCTTGGAAGGGGAAGTCATCACACTCTGGCTGGAAGATGGAGTGGGACTTGCCGGTGGGTTTAGAGGGTAGCAAAATGCAGAGTGGCTTTTCCCGTGTGTGGGAAATTCTGAGGAAAGGCAGCATTGCCCCACTGACAGGGAACTCTGTCTCAGTTACCAGAGACATCTGTATTTAAAGGACCAAGGTAGGCAGAGTCTTGAGATGGCTAGAATAGCACTTGTCATAGAGTTACTACTGTTGTGATGGAACACCATGACCAAAAGCAACACAGGAAGGGAAGAGTTTATTGGACTTATACTTCCTTATCACTCTTCATCACTGATGGAAGTCAGGACAGGAACTCAGACAAGGCAGGAGCTGATGCAGAGGCCATAGAGGGGTGCTGCTTACTGGTTTGCTCCTCGTAGCTTACTCAGCCTACTTTCTTATAGAACCCAGGACCACCAATCCCACCCACAATGCGCTCCCACTTCAATCACTAATTAAGAAAATGCTCTACAGACTGGCCCACAGCCCAATCTTACGGAGGCATTTTCTCAGTTGGGATTCTCTCCTCCCAGATGACTCTAGCCTGTGTCAAGTTGACATAGAGTTAGCCAGCACAGCAGGAGAGATGATGGGAGGATGATGTGTGAGAAGAATGGGTCTTGATTTCAGACTGCAGCATCCTCTAGAAGGGCTTTCATTGGATCCTGTGTGTGCTAAACTGTAAATGGAGGCATGGTTGGTGGCTCCTCGGGGGATGTCACCCAATGTTCCCTTCCTCCAAACTGCTGACAAATACTGGGGGAGTGGCTGAGAACCTACAATTGATGAAATAGATCTGTTTCCATCTACTGCTGGACTGGTCAGTGAATGATAAAACAGGGGAGCTGTTTATCCAAGTGGACAGTGATAAAACATCTGGCTAAGAGGTGACATTGATGAGTAATGGATCTATTAAATCACACAAATACCCTGTGCTGACTATGTGCCATGCATTATCTGATTTATACCTGGGGACAATAATAATGATGTGGGTACCACTATCATCCCCATTCTGGAGATAAGGACACAGATTCAGGGAAGGACAATTTGTACCTGAGTCAGTCTGACTCCCTGAGTGTTTACAGTCACTATACATGAATAAGGGGTTGATGCTCTGCTCAGAGACCCAGGACTCCTCTATCATGGATGCTGTAACTTCAGATGTCTGTACCTGCATTGCCTGATCGCTCCAATGGGCCTCATTCAGTTAGTCTGGGAAGAGAGCCCAGGAATGGGTGGAATGAGGCTCTTGGAATGGAGGAAAGAGTTGTTACAAGGATGGGGAGGATGCCATCATGGCCTCAGGCCTCTTCAAGGCGAGGCTGAGCAGTGTCAGGTCTGGATAAGAGGACCCTGGAGGCTCGAGCTAGAGCATTGATTGGGGACAGGTGGAGATGGAGAAGGCACAGCCAGGAGAGTGTGTGCTCCGATCAAAGTTACAAAGGTTGAGGGTTGACAGTGCACAAGCTCACCTAGGAAACTACAGGAGTGCTGGGTCCTGAACCCAGTGCCTAAGAGAAATGCTTAGGTCTATAGGTGCTTTGATTCCATCGTGGTGTCTCTCCATTTCCCCATCACTCTCCCCTACAGTCTTCTGCTCACGGAATCTTGTCTACTTGACCTTTTTTTAATTGTTGTATTGTGCGTCCCCCCCCAGTGTGTGTGTGTGTGTGTGTGTGTGTGTGTGTGTGTGTGTGTGTGTGTGTGTACATGTGGAGGTCAGACATTGATCTCGGTGGGTGTTCCTCAGACACTGTTCACCTTGTTATTTTTGCAACAGGGTCTCCCTGGCCTGGAACTCATTGATTAGGATAGGGGGCTGGCCATTGGGATCCAGGGATCTTCCTGCCTCTGCTTCTCTAGCATTAAGGTTACAAACACGTACCCCCATGTCGGGCTTTTTCTTCTTTTTGCATGTAGGTTCTAGAGATTGAACTCAGTTCTTATGCTTGTGTGGCAAGTGATTCTCAGCCTCTGACCTCAACAGCTCTGGAAACTGTCCCACCTTCTACCCACAGCCAGCTGCATTAAATCAAGCCTTAATCTTTTCACTGGGACAGATGTAAGGGCTTCCTAAAAGTGTCCCCACTGTTCACCTTGTTTCCCGCCACTGCGGCTCCTCCCACTGTTAGCTCTCTTATCTTGTCTCTGACCTCGGTGTCTTTTCTCACTCTCAGCTTGAAATTCAAGCTCATTCTTGGTCTAGGAGGACTCAGCTGACCAGGACAGAGTCACCTCTCAACTCTTCCAAGCTTCTGCTCTAGCGCAGCGATTCTCAACCTGTGGGTCGCAACTCCTTTGCAGATGAACGACCCCTTTCACAGGGGTTGCCTATCAGATACCCTACATATCAGCTATTTACATGATGATTCATGACAGTGGCAAAATTGCAGTTATGAAATAGCAGTGAAAATATTTTTGTGGTGGTGGGGTCACTACAACACAAGGAACTGTATTAAGGGTTTCAGCTTTAGGAAGGTTGAGAACCACTGCTCCTAGTGGCAGTGTGTCTGTCCTGTCAGCTAGTTTCCTGAGATCAGCACTCTTTTTCATACCTTCCTCATCATTCATTAGACTCTCATTCACTAACTCTGTGCTTTGGATGCAACAAGCTGTAGGGCCTCGGTAGCTCCCAGGAAGGCCTTGTCATCAAAGTCTTCAGTGACTATTCCTTTCTTCAGTCAGAACTTACCTCAGTTTCAGCTCCTCAGAGTGACTCTCTGATAATAGAGCTGAAGGAGGCACCTCACCCTTCCCTGTCGCTGCCTTACCATGTCCCTCCATCAACAGTGATTTCCTGAACATCTGAAAACACACACAGACACAGACACACACAGACACACACACACAGACACATGCACATAGACATACGGACACACCTACAGACACATCTCCAGTTTCTTCTACTAGATTGTAAGCACCACAAGAGCAGGAACTTTGTGTCTTTTGTCTCCATCATTTAAAACAGCTGAACAGAGTACTCACCAAATGGATGAAACCACTGAAGGCCCAGCTGGTATGTGAATGAATGACCAGAAGGCACTCCGTGGTTTGCTGAATGAGAGAATGAATGGGTTCTGACACCTTTAATAAAGCCATGATTCATTTGATGGTATTGCTAAGAACTACCCATGTGCCAGGCTTCTGCTTCCCTCCAAGTGGACACATAGCTTCTCCCGAGCCCTCTTGAAGAGTCTCCCTGCCTCTCCAGGAGATCACTCTAGCTGCTCTTTATCTGAGTCAGACCCGCTCAGTCATGTCTGTCAGCTGAAGGAACCCAGCATGGTCTGGCCAGAGTTGGAGCAATGGGTTTTCTTCCTAATGTCAGCAATCTGACCTTGGGAAAGTGATGCCCAGGAGTTCAGCATTCCTTCTGGGCCAGAGGAGCTAACGAAGGTCACCCTGAATGCTGCAGGTAGCAAAGTGACCATCACATTGCTTGGCATAGTCAGGCTCAGGAAATGCTTCTGTGAGCTCTGGATGTACTGAGCTCCAGCTGCCTCAGGGACCAAAGGATGCCCCCAGGCCCTACCGACCTAGAGACCTGCACTGTGTTCCTTCCACTGTTTGCTGAGATGGAAGGAGAGGAGAGGGCATGAAGAGGAGGAAAAGGAATTTAGATAAAGTGGCAGAGGTTTCTATGGCATTTGGGAAGAGTGCCAACTTTGGTAGGTGTCTCCATTCCAGACTAGAATGGCTCTAGGAGACAGATATGAAGCAGGGTTTTCTTTGTCATTAGCCAAAGTATGGAGCAATGCTCTGGGGATGGCTGGCTAGCTGTCTTCTATCTGTAAGTGCAGATCGGGAGGCGCAGGCTCCTGGTGGCTCTAGTAGACTTGGCTGATGTCCTTCTTTGGCTGAGGTCACTGTGCTTTGCTTTTCAGTCTGTGCCCTCTGAATACTCTGGGACTAGGAAGGTGGCCTCTACCCAGACAGAACTCAGCATTTCCTGAGATCTGTGAGTGCCATATGTGCTACCCTTTGTCTGGCTGGACACTAAAACTAGAACATCCTCTATCTTATGAGCTAGAGTGTGGCTATGAGTTCTTTTGCCACTCCAGTAACGGTCAGTCTTAATCCAGTCAGCATGTGGGATGGGACTTCTTTGTCTTTTCTGACTTAAAAAGGTCAGGCATCATAGGGTTGTTTTCCAGAGTTTGCCTTAGAACCTTCTCAGTCAACAGAGGAGAGGGCACCCTCATTTTCAGAAAGAACTTGACCCTTAGAAAAGGTCAAGAGGTTGGCTGACATGATACAGCTCGTGTGG